ATAGAATTAAGTATTTAAGTATTCCATGCTTTAAGATTTGTGGACAATAAATGAGATCTACTTAATGCAACTATAATAAATGGTTTTGCTGCATACACACAGTAGCAATCCATAAGAAGTATTGTTTGTCTGTTTTAATTTTTAAAATTTTTTTCCATTTACATTTGCTGGTAAGAAAGCCTGAAAAAATTTTAAAAACTTGAACTTCACTCTAACATTTTATATGGAGAAAATAAACCTTAAGATGGTTCATAATTTTGATTATGAACTTCTTTTACTGCAGCACAAATGTATTTCTAAAAACTGTATTCTTAAATTTTCTTATTAAATACAAATGAAAGATTTTGCTTTAATTAAAAATTTTCAATATTCCCAATATAAGTTTTTTCCCTTCTTTTTCCTTTCTCCCTTCCTTCTCAATGAAGTATTTGAGAGATTAATTTAGGATTTGCTCCCTTTCTAGTTTTTAACTGGTTGGAAAGTGAATGTAAGAGTGCATCTGACAGTGAATTTTCAAAGACATAGTTTAGTATATCATACTTATGATGTTAGTGGAAACTAAATCAGAAAATTTAATTTCAGCACAAGAAAACTGTCAATAACTTCCTGGACTGCAAGCATGGAAGAAAGCCATCTTGTCTTGCTGTTACTTAAAACAATTTTATTTTGAAATTTAACGAAATTGCAAAACTATTAAAGTTCCTAAATTCATACACAATAAATGCACAACTGGTCATAAATTTGATTAATTATTAACTGAAGAACAGTAAGTAAAGGCTCTGAAAACTTGTCAAGAGTTCTTCATGGATTAACTATGGCTATGCTAAAAAAGATTACTGTTGGCTGTACTAAAGTAAAATGTACCAGAAGCAATTATTTTCCCTACCAGAAAGATCATTTTAAAAAGTGGACAGTGGAATATTTTATCAAAAAAGGGGGCTGCCCTGGAAAAATGAGGCAAAGGGAAACCCCACATTACATCATAACATAATGAATACCAACCTATCATTTACAAATCTGCATTAAAAAGGTACCATATACTAGACAAAAAGAATAAAATTACACTTTCTGATTAGGCTATTACAAGCATTTACTAATGACATTCAACGATAATTTCAGGTTACCTGAAATATTTCAAGTAACAATAACTTCATTCTGAATCCTTAAGTCTACTGGTCAACATGCTGGGGACTAAACTAAAATTATAGTAGAATGGAAATATGCCATAATTTTTAATTGCAGGCTGATTTTAAATGGAAACTGCAAACATTACAGAATGACCTGTAAGAAGCCTAGACTTTAATTCCCATAAAAATAAGATGAGAGCTAAATTTTCTGAGAATGTTTACTCGATAACATAACAGGGGAACTTCCAGCAACTGTGAAAGAAAAATTCTAGTATTTATGACTAGAAAGGTTGAAGCTTTTGACAGATTCTGTTTCAAAAAGAGTGCCCATGTTTGTTCAAAACAAAGATGGATATATTAGTACACAGTTACATATTATTTAGAATACATATACTGTTTAGATTATGATACAATACAAAAGAGGCTCTATTAATTGGGCCTCTATTAACCAACATCTCTATTAACTGAGCTGGCTTCGAAAAACATAGTAAATATGGAAAGAGCTGGCAATCAGTTGAAAGGAATGATTGGAAAAATATAGTAACAATGGAAAAATCAGTAAAATTAGAGAATTCTCTTAAAAAGCGATAAGTCATTTAACAGCCTTCCTATTTCGCCTTATGGTAAAAAATGTATTTTACATGTGTTAAGGATAAAAGAAATGCTGACTAATGGTAAATTAATAAACTTGTTTGAAAGGCTAAAAGGATGATATTTCAGAACTGATAAATGCAGAAAACAGAAAAAAAAAAATAATAATAATAAATTTTAATTTTGAGTGATTAACCATTCGCGCTACGACTAAAATTTACAGTTGCAGTGCCTTACACTACAATATAACAAGCAGTAAAGTGTCTCATTTACACCACTCCATGTCTGTGAGTGCAATCCAGAGCTGTAACTCAAGAAATAAACAATCCGTTGTTAGGTGACGTGTGCACCACATTATTTTCCTTTTTGCGATAAATGCCTATCGATGTGGTGTTAACGTTGCTCATGGTTTGAGACAAAAGCATCTCAACGTGCGTGGCACGTCTTTTTAACGCAACTTGTTAAAAAAAAAAAAAAGGAAAAGTTTAGTTTAAGGTACCCCCTGGCAAAACTTGGCGGTACATGGATACCAATTTTGTGCAATTCTTTGACTCGTCATTTTGACTTGCAAAACGGCGATTTTTGGCAGCCAAAATAACAAGACAAACAATTGCACAAACTCGGTATCCATGTACACATCAACTTATTTTCACTTAAAAAAAATTCCCCGAATTGCAAAAAAATGGCATTGTGCACTCCTTTGACTTTATCCATGTACACGTCGACCTATTTTCACTTAAAAAAAAAACCCTGAATTGCACAAAAAGGGCATTGCGCACTCTTTTAACTTTATCCACATACACGTCGACCTATTTTTACTTTAAAAAAGTCCCAGAATTGCACAAACTTGCATTGTGCACTCCCTTTACTTCGTCCATGTACACATTGATATATTTTCACTTAAAAAGTCAAAGGAACACCAAATTCTACGATATAGGCAAACAAAAAATACATAATCTCAATAAAATACACTTCAAACCAAATGATAAAATAACATCCAAAAGAAAAAAAAAATTATACATTTAAGCCCTACCAAAAGAAAATATTCACTTACCATGATTTTCGAGTTCGCTTCGTACACCCAGAGCCACGTAAAAATCAAAATATCAATCATACTCAAATGACTTTTTTCAAACCAAGTACTCTTTCCGATCGAATGCTTCATACAGTGACCATCTGAACATTTCTTCCTACAAACCCATTCAAATCCATCTAAAAGGATTTTACATTCGACTAGACGCATATCCTTACTACGTACAGGACACTTATAATGGCTACTAAGTAAACCTTTATTTACACACCAGTCAATTAAAGCTCTTTTCCCCTTTCGCTCCAAATCGTACAGAAACTTCAAATTAATCTTATTACATTCGGCCATTCTACCGTCTAAAGAATCAAACCAACACACACCACAAAAACGCTTACAAAACTTCCCATGATTCAAAATTTCACAGAATCATGCACCCAATTACGTCACAGTAGGGTTTCCATAACATTCAACTACTCAGGCTACCAGAAATGAAACAACAACTTGGCGATAAATCAAACAACTTCACCATAATACAAGGGGTACTTTAAAGTCTACTCTACCCCAAAAAAATTATGCACAGATCCAGTGAACAATTAAAAATTGCAATGATGATGATGAAATCCAAACACAATATGAAATTAGTCATGTTGAAGTCTTGGTTTTCATTTGGTTTGATTACAGCAAAGTACATGAGGATTATCTGCTCAAATGAAGAGGTTCCTTCACTGATGACTTTTAAAAGGAAATTGGCTTGTTGTCACATTACATATGGGAAATATAATGACAACTGAATGCACTGAGATTTATGCCTAGAATATTTTTTGTAATATCTTTAAGAACATATATATATGTGTGTGTGTGTGTATTAAAACTAAAACATGGCAAAGAAAGTAAGGCAATATATTAAAAGTACACAAATATACCTCGATATACCTGGATACGTAATTTTTATATTAAAATCAAGAAATTAAATTTTTCTCATAGTAGTTTTGGGAAATTTGTGCTTTCTTAGTGAAAAGCCTGGCTGGTTAGAAGGTTATACAGGCACCAGTGTGCATGAGTCTCTCACACAGATTCACACATCATTTTTAGCTGGTGTCTCTTTATATGGCTACATTTAAAATGTCCTGTTGCTACAATTTTGCTATGTTTACATAAGCTAAATTAGGATAATAAAAATATATATAATTAAATTATAACCAGCATATATTTTAATAACAATAGTTTCTTCGTAAATTTTATATCACCAGTACAATATTGCTAATGGGAATAATATATAATTAAAAAAATGGAATGGATCATATAAAGCAGACTTTCAAGATACTGAAATTTTGCAACAAAAACCAAATGGAGCATTAAGATATTCCTTATTTTTAGTATACAGCAAGGGAAATCTGAAAAATTCAGTAGTTGCTGATTATTTGTACCCTGACTGAAGAGTCACGAAAAAGTATTAATAACACAATGCATCAGGTCATCAAAAAGCATTTAAATAGCAACCAATTAAGTTGCCAAAAATTATTTATGTGACAACCTAGATATCCGGGTTGTGTTTGAGTATATTTGGATTTATACTTTTGAAAGTCAGCCTTCTTTCATTGGATACATTTGTTTTTGACATAATGAATTGTCATGGTACTGTGGAGTTTATGAACTGACGAAAAAGAAAGCATTATATTTGTTCAGAAACATGTTTTGCCTAACCATAAAGAATGCAAAAATCCACATTCTATAAAGTTGCATTTCTTAAATGGCCAAGTTTTATAGAAACACAATGTCAAAAATAGCAAGCAGTGTGTTAGAATGGTGGTTGAAAACTGGTTCGAAGATAGCCTATCTTGTGTACAATAATCATTTGCTTTATTTATTGTTAGACAAAGCAATATATGTCAGTGAAATTCTGTGTAGAAGAACTGCCATTATTTCTAAACAGCTACTGACTAGTGTGATTACTTTCAAGAAATGTTCACATTTTCTATGGAAAAAGAATGTACAAAAATAAGCGACACTAGATGTATCACTGAAATAGATGTAAGGATACTCAGACAAACATTTCTCTCCAAGGAGTTTACACACTGGTTTTAACTCAGCAATGAGTTTGCAAATGCTCTCCAAAGCCACCAGTCAATTCTTCACTCTTTGGTTGGGAGTAAGGATAATCTGAAAGTATCAAAAATCCTAACAGCAAAATTAAAGGCAATTAAATTTTGATTCAAATAATTGTCAATGATACTGAAACAGAAAATACTCACTGGTTTGTGTAATCTTCCACTTACATACAATGTTTGCCAATCTAATAAGTCTTCTACCAGATGGTTAGTACTAACAACTCCATACTTGATCAACTGTAATAAAGTACAATAAATTCTATTAATACTTTTAAACATGTTTTAAAAGATTGAAGGAGATTTGCAGAGTTGATTCCATACGAGTAAAATGTAAAAACAATTTTACTGAAGGTAAATGGAATCTATAATGATGGTTAATTTTTACATAAGAGGAAGCAATTATCTTTGTACATTAAGACAATACAATATGTGTTTCGATAAATGAAAATCATGTAAAGCTTTGTAAAATTTTAATATGCTTAGTTTCAAACAAATTAAAAATTAAAATTTCATTAAAATTTGCTTGAATCGAACTTCACAAATGGTTTTCATATCTGGCATACATTCATTCCCCCCCTCTTTTAGTGAGTTACTTCTTGGGAACCAGGCTATCATTTAAAAACAGAACTTGCCGCACTTTACAGGCACTAATGCAAAAGTATATTAAAACATGTTGACTAATTATATTGCTTCATTAAACATCAACTAATGGACAAGGGAAAGAGAAAAAATGAAACTGATATAGCATCTAACACCTGAGCATGACTATTCCTACTTTCAGAACATTCATTTCAAAACTTTGAAAGTTTTAAAATATTGTATTCAACAGATAGATGGATGCAGTTTTTGAGTTAATAATCTTATGAGGAAGGAGAAAAAAGCATACCTTATTTTCTACTTCAACCATGGTATTGAAATATACATTTGCTCCAAAATTCTCTTGAACACTTCGAATGAATTCAGCGCCTCCAAATTTAGCCAAAGAATAATGCTTGCTGTTAATTTTAAGGTTTAGCTGATGCCATTTAACAGGGTCGTCCACAGAAAAGATGAAATCGATCATATTTCCCTAAAGAAATTTAAGTTTCTACATTTAAAGATTTTTATACATAATGCTCCATCCAGACCTTAAACTAAAAATTAATGGCATGAAAACATTACAGAACGCATATCTTATAAAAATTCATTTGGTAAAATCCTAGTATACGGTGCAGCCTTGGCGCGATTTTAAAAATTATCGCCAACACCAAAAATTACCAAAAGAACGTCTATGTATATATAGTGATAGTATACTATACACTATATACATAGTATATACTATGCATAACTATATATATTCTTTGAATACCCATTTACTACTTATCGTATATGTCCCGTTTTTATTGCTCATCATAAAAGTCGCAAAAAGTAGCCAAATCCCGTGTGCAACGGATACTAGGATTAAACCATCCAGGTATCTTCAGAAAAATTTTTTTAACTCTATTCAATTCTTACCTGACGAAGTAGTTCTTTATTTTGAGGAAAAACAGCGGAGCCATAAGCAAAAACCAGAGAGAATTGCTGAGGAAATTTGGAGACAATTTGTTCTAGCAATTTTGTAGTGACAGCCATTATCAACAGTTTGTTTTAACTATTCTGCTTTCCCATAATGATAGTCGGTTACCATTCAGTAACTATAAAAACGAAAGCAATGTATAAACAAATAAAATCACAGAGGCATAATCACCAGTCTCTGGAATATTTCAAAGAAGGATTCGAAATACATGTAAACAATGAACAGTGTTGCCAACTGAATGTATGAAAGAAATTTCACTTAACAAAGTGCCATGTTTTGGAACAGGGCCATATTGTTTTTCGAAATTTCCCGGTAGCGTATCTCCACACCGTCCCGCACTTTCTGAGTATATTACATGACTGGAAAGTTTTGTCATCACTAGTTTTGCTTAGAAAATAGCAGAGCGAGAACTGACTGAGTGTAGTCTTCTGGGAAGATTTTTGTTAATTTCATGAAATATGTCAATAAATAATTTACGTAACATTTTTAATGAATCAATATGATCTACTGGCGTACTGTATGTAATTGTTACTTTTTAATATATATCAAATAAGCAATTCACTATGGAAATGAAAATAAATAGTAAATTAAAGTCTGACGGTAGTAAACACTGCAGATTTATTGAATTATTGAGCAACATCACTAAAACTAACTGGATTGTTCACAAGACGGAGCCATATTTTAAATCGTTGCACAAAAATTTAAGGCAACGGATGAGGATAGCGAAGGGTGCCGACGTGGTTGGGAGTTGTTCCTAAATTTGTCAGGGTTCGTATTCGGAAGTTTAGGAAGTTCTGAGCTTTTTTATTTATTTTAAATTTTTTCACAACATTGTCGAGTATTATTGTTCTCCGTTGGTTTTAGAAGAAGATAATCTTTTGTTTATGTCTTTGTTCCTTCCAAGACATTAAACTATTCGGATATGGATATAATTTGAAATCCTATAGGCAAAGTAGAATGCTTTCCTTCATCATACTTCACTTACATTAGCTTTTACTGCTCATCATTTACGATTTTAAGACATTTTTTTAATCTTTCGTATGCATATAGTTCTTTCTTGCATAACTTCCTTACCCATGCCATTGAAGCCTTTTTGCATTCTTTCAACTCCCACCGTAGGGAAAAACCCAAACAGAAAGAAAGGCATCATTCAGGAGCGTCTCAATTCTACCCAAATCCTCTCGGGTTGTCGTAGGAATTGTGGTAGAAATCTATATATAAATCTAATAGATATCCTAAGTCCGCTTTCGAGACATGAAAAAGGCAAGTGGAGTTTCATCAATCGGCCCAGTAGAACAGGAGATATAGAACTGTCCTTTTTTTTTTTTTTTTTTTTTTGAGTGTCCATGCTGTGTATCTTGAAGAGGCAAAATTTACTTACCTTGAAATAGAAATTTGCATAATATGATAATTTCTAAACCTATTTCATCACTAGATTTGAAGAATGAATAGGATGGATTTAAATGTATAATAATTATAAAATTAGGTATTTCAGTGCTTGTGACAGTTAAATGTATAACAGTAATAAAATTAGGCATATGTGTTGATAGCACTCACACCCCAAATCTTTACAGATTTTCATTTAATCACGTTATTAATCATAGATGAATTTTGGACAGATGAATTTTGGTTCTGGATGTCCTGCATTTTCTGCAACTGATTATACTGCAATCAGTTTACTTTTTAATTCTATTACAAGTAAGCGTATGTAAGTCTGTTTTAAAGCTTTTGAAACAAGAACCACCAAGTACAAAAATTAAATTGCAAAGAAAATTTTTTTTCAACAGAGAAAAAAAAAAGAAGGAAAAAAAACCGTATCAAATAGTATACAAAATCTAATGATGCAGAAAAGCAACTCATAATTGAATGTCTCCATTGTCTCCATTCATTCGGATTTTGATCATTCATATGCAGGTGATTTATAAATAGTGATATTTTATGGCCCATTTTCAAATTTTGCTTACATATGCTGTCGTAGAAGAAAAGGAAGAAAATTCAAGGTAAATTATGTTTAAAGTTTAATTTGAACAATGCATTGCATAAAGATGACTATATTTCTACAATTCAAAATATAAAAAAAGTTGAAATTTTTTAGATATAAATCTTAAAATGTGTGATCGTAGGCAAAAATGCCTATCCTTTTCAAGTTTCATGTTATTCAAACTCTTTCTTTTTATAACCTAATTTATTTTCTTAAATAAAGAAGTTTAATTATTTTAAACATGAACTATTAGTGTGTTATATTCATGACAAAAATTAATTACAGAAATTCCTTTCTTTAACAAATCAATAGAGAAATAATTTGTCTTCCACTTTATATCAAGTCCGTTACATTGAGATCATTTTACCTCAAATTAGTTTGTGTCTAAAAGGGGCAGTACGTATTCAGTGATATAGATAAACTGGTCAAACTAAGTTTGACTACTTTGAATATGTACTGCCCCTCTTTAGGCAGATTTACAAACTAATTGGGGGTAAAATAATCTCAAGGTAACGGACTTGACGTGAAGTGGAAAACAAATTATTTTTATCGATTTGCTAAATTTTTATCTAAAAATTTTCAATCTTTTTTTTTTAATATTTTAAATTGTAGAAATGTATTTATAGTCATTTTATGCGATGCACTGCTCAAATTAAACGTTAACTATTAATTTTTCTTGAATTTTTCTTTCTTTTCTTCTGGGACAGCATATGTAACAAAATTTGAAAATGGGTCTTATGTTTAAAAATTATTCACATAAGAGCAACTATATTGAGTTGATTTTAAAATTGGACCTGTTGTTAAGTCTCCCAATTGTTGCAAATAACTTTTATTTGTGATTATATTTCCCATTTGTATTTTACAACATGTGTGGCAACACGCTTTTTATATTTTTCTCTTGGCAACGTTTTTTTAGTTGTTGTCACTGTTTTACTTTACCATGTAGAATTTACTGTACTTGTGCCATTTGTGTTTCAATATATTTTAATTTAGATGAATCTCTGCTTATTTATTTGTCTCCATTCCTAACGTTAGACTTCATCAGGTTATGGGTACCAGCATGATATAACTGTGCGGGGAAATTTATGAGCGAAGTGGAGATAAACATTACCGGCAGTTCGTAAGCCTAACACGGCAGTTCTTAAGCCTTACGTGAGTCGGAAAATTAGTTCGCAAAAATGGAAGCTGCAAAGATATTGGTTCAGCCGTTATGCGGAAAAAGTGATTGGCCTATTTGGAAATATAAGAATTAAGTTCGTATTAAATTATCACGAAAACGCTTTAGAAGTCGTGGAAGGAAAACTGAAGAAGCCAGAGGAGCCTGATCATGCGGCCGCCGAAGAGATTCGAAAGAGATTTAGAGATGATATGAAGGTTTTTAATAAAGCAAATAATTGCCCTATGATGGTACTTACGAACTCCATGACTGAAGACACTTTACAAAAGGTAATGAGATTTGACAGCGCAAGAGACATTTGGCTGGAACTTCACAAAGTATTCGAAGATTCGTCCGATAACCAACTTTATAACATATGTTTACAGTTCTTCAAATTCAGTTGGTCAAATGATGATATGGCAGCTCATTTGTCAAAATTGAAAAATCTATGGAATGAACTGAACAGTGGGCTTGAAAATAATGAAGAAAACAGACTGCCAGAAATGCTGTTGATTTGTAAAATATTGGATACTCTTTCTCCCAGTTATCGTACTTTCAAATCGAGTTGGTTACTTCTTAGTGATGAAAAGAGAACTTTAGATGAATTAACCACACAATTGTGCACCCATGAAAGAGAATTAAGGAAAGATCCAAAATTTTTAGAAACTTTAGATCAGGAAGCATTGATAGCAAATCCGGAATTTAAGCGGAAATCATCTATTAACAAGAAAAACAATGGCAAGTGTAATTATTGCCACCAGAGAGGACATTGGGTCAGAACATGCAAGAAATGGATAGCTGATGGAAAACCGCCGAAACGCAGTCCACATATAGGGCCAAACAAGGGAAGTAAAAATAGCGTTGCTGCAAATGTGACACTTCTAGCTGTAGATGATACAATATTTTCTCCAGAAACGAATTCTGATGATTGGTTTATTGATAATGGGGCCTCGAAGCATGTCGTCAATAACAGGCACTACTTTATAGACTTAAAAAGATTTAAGCTTCCTCATAGCATCACCGTGGCAAATGGAAAGTCATTACCAGCAATTGGAAAGGGCACCATCAAGATAATGACCAATGTAAATGGGATGAATCAAATCAAAAATCTTGAAAATGTCTGGTATGTTCCAGAAATAAGTAAAAATCTATTTTCTGTGTTAGCATCTCAAGGTAGAAATCAAAACAGTGTGTTTGAATCAACATTTAAGGACTGCTATTTAAAAATAGATGGTGAAATAGTTCTGCATGGAACAAGAAATGCTGGTGGGGGTCTCTTCAAAGCCGTGATGAAGACCTTAGTTCCTAACACTCACATTGACATCAACATGACTGAGAATAATGAATCAACTCTCCAACTTTATCATGAACGATGGGGTCACCAAGATAAAAAGCATGTAAAGGCCATTGTAGAGAAAGAGTTGAATATTAAGATTAAGTCTGATATGAAATTATGTGAAGCTTGTGTATACGGAAAATCCCACCGTTTAAAGTTTGGAACCAGGAAAGCGGTTACAAAAGCTGGAGAATTATTCTCGACAGATATTTGTGGGCCATTTGATCAGTCATTTAGGAAATACCGTTACTTTGCAATCTTCAAAGATGCCTACACCAAATTTTGATACTGTTTTTTTCTTAAAGCACAAATCAGAAGTAAAAGATGTGATTGAAAATTTCATAGCTCACGCTACGGTTAAAGAAATGCTCAGTGACAATGGTGGAGAATTTGACAACCAAGCCGTTCGCAAGATCTTCAACAAGCATGGAATCTCCCAGAGGCTCACAGCTCCATATACACCAGAACAAAATGGCAGTGCTGAACGAGAGAACAGAACAGTCCTAGAAATGGCCAGAACTCTCAAATACTCGAATGAGGAAGTGGACTTCCAGCTTTCCTATGGGCAGAGTTCTTCAGTACTTCAATTTATATATTGAATAGGACAGGCAAGTCTTCAGTTCCTAATTCAAGCCCTTATGAATTATGGATGGGAAAGAAACCCAGAATAAAACACATGCGCATCATTGGATCGACTTGCTATACTCATATCCCAGTTCAGAAGAGGAGAAAGATGGACAAAAGGGCAACTAAAGGCTATCT